CGCTGTACACAGTAAATAATAAGCGAATGACGCGCAGTAATAATTTTTTTGTATTTCAAAGTTATTTAAAAGAAAAACAAGCCGAATTTTTGAAGTAAGTTTTGTTAGCTATCTAGAGAAATGTTCGATGTGAAAGTCACCCATTTAGGAACGTCACAGGGCAATCAAGGTAGTGCGTAAGAAGCATACAAACTTCAAGGTGATGCCGTAAGTATAATTCTTCCCGATTTTCAACTTGCATAAAGTCAAAATCAAATTTATAACATATTCCTAAAAAAAAGAAAGAAAGAAAAATCCAATATTCTCGATAGACGGAAGCGTAAATGTATATCATATTTTTGGACAAGAAAGATAACAAAAAGTAAACTTCAATTTTGCATTGTTTTGGAATTTTATAAACAATTGGTTGAACATTACGTATATTATACATGTATATATATATATACATGTTAATAAAATCCTATTTTCCCCATTAGCTATGGTATCTCCGCATTGGACAACACTTTGTACGTCTTTCGAATTGAAACTCATAAGTACAGTTTTTCCCACATTTACAAATGTCTTTCGCACAAACACACACACACACACACACACACACACACACACAAACACACACACACACACACACACACACACACACACACACACGATTTCAAATATTTATTCACGTAAGAGCATCAAAAACTATGACATGCTGCGCTGTAGTCATAACCAATATGCCTGGAAATGAGCTGCAAATAAATAGATAATCAGAAGCAAACTACTTGTAATCATTGGCGTGAGATACGGGAAAAGATCCATGAAAAAAATTCAAGGTAATACCAAAAAACGAATAGCAGATGTGCTTCGAGGATTGGGATAAGCGCTGACTAAACTCTATTATATCTACGGGGATTAGTTTGAAGGGCTCAAAATAGATATTGATGAATAAATGCATGTTTTTCGAGACCGTTTTCTGCACACACCTCTTACATTTAATACCTTTTCAAAGAAACTTTCCATTAACCGTTTTTACTAGATAATGGCTAGAAAAAGCATAAGCAGCAGAAAATGAAACATTCCAAGCACCCAAGCATATCCAACCATTGCCTTGTTAATCAATTTTTAATTCATTTCACATCCTGCGATCCTAAATAAGTTAAAAATGTCAGCAGATACAAGTGAACTTTTGAAAATTCTTTCGAATTTTCTTTCTAATAAATATATTCTATGCACTTATATTAAGTAATAGAAAAACTTCATGGCGTTATATAACGGAAACGCACAACATATATTTTTTATTCATTTTAAGTTAACTTTATTGGGGCAATATTGATTGATAACCTTCTGCCTTTTTTCGCTTTGCCACGGACGGAATATAGAACCATATGGTTTTCACAGACCTCTATCGAAATCTGCCTTATAGCATTAAGAGAATTCTGGATAAATCGTAACAAATGGTTGTTGGACAGAGCATCGTCCGGCGTATGCCCCAAAATGGCGATGGCTTTTCTATTGATCCGGTTTGCAACACTTCACCCGAATGGCATTCTTTAATCGCGTCAGTTGTGGACAATAAAATGTGGAATCAGTTGCCAAGGCCAGATTTGAACAGCTCATCAAGTATCATTCGCCTTTAATCTTACCAAATAAATAGGATTATTTTACTTCGGGCTAATGTGGGCTTTGCAGCGGTTTCCGGATCATTGTTTGTCTTGGGCTAGGAAATTTTTTCGCAAATTACTGTCTCCGATGACACATCCAACTTAGTCTCCTCGAAAAGGACGCAAATTTCATTTTGTTCCAATAGCATTTCGCAAATGGAAATGTTTTGCCTTAACATTTTCACTGTTAATTCATGTTGTGTCCAAATATCGCACTTTTTTCTAGTATCGAGTCTAATAAAAATGGTTCAATACCTTTTCGGTGTCAATACTGAGCGCCTATGTGACGTCATAAGGGGAAATGTGCCGGCCTTCCTTAACTGTTTTTAAGAATTTCTTTTCAGACTTTTATCTGAATTTCTGATCCGTAGAACGAAGCGAACAAAATTTTACTAAAGCATCCAACAAATGCTTTCACAAGTTTACGAAGTCTTTGCCGAAGTGAGAATGCAATATATAGTGAAATTTTTTGAATTTTTTTTTTTTATTTTTAAAACGCAATTATTTTAGATTAAACTGATATATATCACTGCTTTCTTCTTTTTTGTTTTCTTTTTGCTTTACTTATCTATGGAGAGATATTGTTCACACACGCTGTTATACCTTGATAGGGTTTGTCTTATCTAAGTTTCGCGACTCAAAAACCATTACTATTAGAAAAACGCCACGAAACTTTTCCTTTACCTTATACTCATGTTATAGGATGAGAAGTATTTATTATACCTTATATTTATGTCTTATTTATCTGCAGCGGTTAAATGAGGGGATCACGGTTTAGAAATAGAAAGAGACAAGACGACTTTTTTTTTTTTTTAACTCCCACATAAACGTTACAGAAGTGTTCATTATTTAAGTGTATTTTAAGAGGAATAAAAGCAAATAAATTAAAATAAATAAATAATTTTTTTGAACGAAACACAATTATTGCTATAATGAGTTTAAAATCAATCTACAAACTATAATAAAAATATGATTTTTTTCCTTTGCATAACAACGCTCAACGACAACAATGATAAAGCAAAAAAATTAAAAATCTTTTCATAGATATACGTATGTATCCACGTCTGGACATGGGACAAGTATGTATACACATATACACAAAATAATATATATATATATATGAACAAAATTAATGATCTTAACAACAAGTGAGCTTTAGGATATCTCAAGCTTTAACATAATCATGTAGCAGATTTTTCACATTTAATGCGAACGAGTAAATCGGGCCTCCGGGCCTCCGGGCCTCATAACTTATTTGTCAAGATCTTACAGAAATTGTTGAAAAAATTAACAATAGACAAAATGGAAGTAATAGACTTACATGCCAAATTATGGCGCGCTTATTCAATTAGAACGTCAATAACAATTAACAGTTAACTCTCAATCCGCCAGTGTACATCGTCTTTAGTGTGACAAAACGTGAAAAGAGATGGATTCACAGTAACACTGGACTTTTTTCGTTGGTTGTATGCATAAACCCCGTAGCGAAACTCAAAACGATACTGCCTCAGATGTACGCGTGCATCAAATAAGTAATGAGCCGTTCATGAAGCGAAAGGAGAAATCTTTGGCACTGTGTGTATGAGTTTTAATTAATAATTGATTTTAATTTGCTCCCCACTCTGATCGGCCAGATAAGGCAAAGGGGATTAGGTTATTTCGGAAGTCAGTCATTTCCGATATAAAAACAAAATCTTGATTAACTCCGGCCGAATGGGTTGCCTGTAACCTTAACATTAACATTAACCTTAGGTATGTTACATTTGGAATTTACTTGATATTTCTGATAATCATAATGAGTTTGTCATTTCGTATGTAATATTCGCACAGATATATGCTTTAGAGATCTCTGCAAATACATACACACGCTTGATTGGATGTGAACCTTTGCAGCTAATCTTTCGTCTGGCTGACTTGACTGTTCTTGGAAATATTTCAATTCTCAAAACTAGGAACATATTCTCTGTGAATCGCAATTTCACAAATCGATGTCGCTTACACCACACACGTGGTGCCGTTTAGACTTAAAACTATTAAAATGAATAAAATAAATAAAAATAAAAAATTGTCAATCGATGGAGAATAAGAAATGAAGAGTAATACAAAATGCTTTGTAGATTGAGTTGAGATTTTCAGGAATAGGTTGAAAAGCGATATTTGAAATATGGGGATCGCGGTCATTTGCTATCCTATCTCAAGGAGCCCAGCCGTATGGACATAATTAATGACGATCGCCCGTTGTTTTGTAAATATTATGAGACGATGTGTTACGGCACTGAGCGAATACAGTTTTTTAAATTGTCTGATATTAGGGAAAATGCATTCAGTCCTACAATGACGTACAAGCTGTTTACTGTAGGATCTTTGCATACGAAAACATTTCTTTTTACTTCTTTTTTTTTTTTTTTTTAATATAACTTTAATATAAAAATTTAGCGAGTTGTCTGTAAACTCATGGGCGTTCCACACGTTTGGTTATAAAGGTTTTCTTTTCATTTAAAAATTATCGTCAAATTTTTGTTTTTTTCTTCTTCTTATTATCTTATTTAGAACGGAACACGTACTTGCTTTGTTTTTGATTAATAACACTTTCACGTTATTCGCAGATGTTAAGAGATTTCATTTACGGGCCCAGTGAAAGTTTAGCTCGACCCTGTTATCATTAAAGAAGCTTCGATAATTATCATTCAACGTCTTCATCAATAATGCACAGATACGCGCACATACGCACACAGTGCACAAATTTCCGTTATCTACATTAAATTTTCACATAATACTTAGCAAATGAATTTCTCATATATTCAGCCGCACCGAAAAGACGTATACGCACGTCATTTATTATTATTGTTAGTTAAGATGATAACAATGACGATGAATCAATGAGAAAGCCATGCATTTCTTACGTATATATATATATATATATATATATATATATACATATATCTATATCCAATATAACGACTAAAAGTAAACACACTTTTAATGAGTTTATCATCGTGGAGTTGATACATGAGGAGAAAGGTAAAAGAAAACAACACTCACGAAACACATCAAGAGAGGATTACAGTTCAACTCATTAATTTATTATATCAACATGCATGCGATCCATACGTTGCTTGATCACGATCATTAGCAATAAGTGTGAAGTCTTTCCTTCAGTATCGAAAAGAGAAAAATTAAATTGCGAAACACTTGCTTTGCCTGGCATTTTGACAAATCATTCAAGTGTCAACAACAACGAGCACTTGAATATGATTAATTTAATTTCATTTCATTATTACCCGATCACTCCGATTGTTACCGTCATTGTTAATGATGAATTTTTAAAATGCATTTTTAAAGCTTAATGCTACTCACTTGTATTGGATAAGCGCTCGCGCCAAGCCATTGGATTCGCTACTAGCCCTTGAAGACCAGGCCAGTAGAGATGCGTTCTCTCCACCATATGACCGGGATGAGTTTTCAAAGGTGTTGCTTGACTTTGGGAGAGATACTGAGCCATTCCGGCTGCGGCCGCTGCTATCGAAAATCGCGGTATACCACCTTAAACCAGAAATTTTATTAAAAACTTTTTTCAGAGATCAAAACTAAGAGTCGCGTAGACTCTGAACAAAGATAAATGAAAGAAAAGATATCATATTGAATTATAATTTCTACTTATGATCTCGATCCTGGTTTAATCATTTCTTTTTGAAAAGTACTTTTTCATTGCAATCGCTTCGTTTTTTGTTTTTTTTTCTTATTTTGCTTACCTCCGGCTAGAGCACTTAAGCTTGCCGCTGAAGTTACCGGTGGTGGTTTTGACAATATTGTATCGATACCATGAGGATTGGCGGCTCCTGGTTGAGTTTGTGTGTTAAGATTTGTTGAATTATTAGTAGTAGCTGTGTTGCTCTGACGACTCTCGTTACTAATAATATGAGAATTTTGATTAACTCCACTAAAGGTACCATTTAAAGAATTTCCTCCGCCGGTGGCTGACTTCATTTCGGTCATTGAGTGTAAAGCAGCCAGTGGGGGACCGAGAAAGCTTAAAGGCAGCTTATGTTCTAAACCAATACTATTATTATTTTGACTGTGGTGTAAACTCAATGGATGCGTGGCGTTTGCATATTTACGACTGGATAGATTTTCTGGACTATAATCTGGAGGTGGTGGACTTGATTCACTGTTATTACCTGCCTCCTCACTGGAACGCTGGCTTACTGAAAATGATTTTGAACTGTCAACGTCGGGACTAGAATTTTGCTCGTATCGTGATCTTTGATTGTGAGATGTATGACAATTGTCCGGCGATTCAGATTGTAGGCGGGAAGAAGAAAGCGTTATGTTATTAGCATTGTTTGGATCTGCGTTCGTTAGCAAAGGTGGTGGCGTGGAGGAATCTTCGGTAGAGCGTGGTGACTTTGACTCCGAATGCAGCTTTTCAGAACTGTAATTATTATTACTGCTATCGTTGTTATGGTTTTTTAATAACATTAAAGGTGAAGATAAATTATTATTATTATTATTATTGTTGTTCGCAGCATAAGCTGCTACAGCTGCACTATGATAATCCAATAAATGATCGCGATTTTGATAATCCATTTGTCCGCCATCAGCAAAGCCATTACTTATGTGACTTTGATGGTGCGGAGGTAGAGGAGGGCTACGTTGTAGTAAGTTAGCCGCCGGAGAATTACTTTGACTTACAGCTGCAGCCGCTGCGAAATTGTGATGTCGCATATAGGGATTAATCAAATCCATGTTATTGTCACGTGGCTCGTTGGAACTAACCGTGGTTGTCGTCGTTGAACTGAAATCCGAACTTTCTTCGTATCGCTCGTTGAAACGATAGAGAGGCAAAGGTGACGATAAAGGCTGATGAAACCCGTTGAAACCGGCGGCTACGGCAGCTTGAAAAGCGGCGTTAAAATTTCCCGGCGTGTTACGCAAAGCCAAATTGAAAGCAGAGTTTTGTGACAATTGAAATGATTTGGTCGAACTGCAGTTGTTATGATGTAAAGCAAGCGGGCTTTCCGAGCCCGCAGGCGTATTAGGTAAGTATGGACTACCCAGGTTGATTACTTTTCTCAAAATGCTTTTTATAAATTTTTTCTTATTTTGTCAAATTATTGTAACGAAATACTGTGTTTATGTAAAGCAAACAAGCCACTTCACTTTCAATCACAGTTTCTCCTCATTTAATTTAATTTTCATTGCCTTTTTTTAATTTTCGTAAATCTTTAAAATATTATTTTTTAGAACTGATAAGTTGCTTCACGCTAATATTCTTCACGTTTTTTTTTTATTTTAGTAAAAAAAAAGTTTTTTATATTTTTAACCGCTTATACCGTGCGTTCTTTTAGGCCTAAATTCAGAGAATGACTTCGAAATTGTGATTTTTCAAAATTAAATCAAGTGACCAACAGTACTATTATTTCTCTAAGGCATAAAATCACAACATCTTCACCACACAGTCACACAGCTAATATACAAAATATCATAATCACTCACAATTATTTTTGCCAGAATGCACAGAAGAGAAAATTATACTAACAACACAATGCTTTTAATGCACACAAGCATACGGCTAGAGAGTGTAAATGAAATTTCCACCCCAATTGCTCTCGCTTCCACATGAATATGCAAGTATTATACACTCAATGTTCTCTCATCTCTTTCTGGCTTAAGGTAATTTATAGACTTCACTTATTATAGTAGAGACAGAGACGGCTAGATGGCATGTGTCATTTACATATGTGCAGTTAGTAAATCAGAGAGAAAAATCTGATTGTAAAGTCAAATACATAAAATGAATGCATACAACAGGAAAGCAATTTGACTTTGATGCACAGTTTATTTTATTATTGTTGTTATACAAGCAGTAGTAGTGGTAGCAGTAGTAGTAGTAGTAGTAGTAGTAGTAGTAGTAGTGGGAATTGAGTTTAAAGTTTACCATATCCTTTATGCACTGGATTACCAATTGGGGAATGTTATGGAATTAGAACAAAACGAATGCGATTTTTATTTTGCGTGATAAGTATTATTACAAATCTACACATAAGTATGTAACAACAAAAATAGCATTCATATATTTTAAAATCGTTCTTCCTCTTCTCTATCTATTCGTGTAAGGCAGCGCTTACTCATGCAGTATGGGTGTTGATTTCTTTTTAATTTTATCCTCAATTTTTCAACTCATTTCGTTTTTTCTTTTGTTTAGTTCTGTTTCTTTTTTATGCATTGTCTCTTGTTTTGAGGTCTAAGGTGTTGTTAAATTTCGAATTGATTATGTCTTTTCTTTTATTATTCGTTCTCCACCATCATTGCGCCTCGTTCTTAGTAGGCCTTAATATGCGTTACATATCTATTTATGTTTACTTGTTTAATAGGTAATAAATTTTGAGTACCAAAGTAAATATTTTTTTATTTTTTTTTATTTTCTCTTTTGCTTAACATTATGATTTAATTTTCACTCAACATATTTTATTATTATTATTGTTTTATATTCATAAAGACGAAATGCATTAACTTTTTCAAACCATATGATGCACGTAAACTTTTTATATACACCGATAAATTAGTGTGAAATTTTAATTTTTTATAGTTATATTTATAGCACGTTAGTTACTTTATAAAAAAAACTCAAGCTAAACACAATACAGTTATTTTTCGAAACAGTTTCGATGTCCGCCAACAAGAATTCGAATAATTCATAGTATTATTATATCCATAGATCAAAGGTCATAGATTTTATTGTTTCTGTATTTATAAGATTGTTGCTTACATTTAGTATCCACGAGCACAATTTGCATAAAGTCACGTAATCAAAGAGTGCATTGACCTAATATCGAAAGAAAAAGAGAAGAGCTGCTTTTACCAATCCTGCGTTTACTTTTGACTTCCACCAAGAACGGGACATGAAATAATTGTCAGTTGATAGTAATAAGTAGCTACACTCTTAATCGGTCAACTCATGTCAGTGGCTTCGTTTCATTTGAGACGTCGTTTGCTTTCACAAAATTATCGCTTGAAGTGCGCAGATAGCGATCACTTATATGGTAGGAAACATAGAACGGATATAATCCTGATAACGTGTTAAAACGGTATAGATTTTTCTGTTAGAATTCATAAACAATTCCTTTCTAAAAGTAATGAAAATGAATGCTATTTTATTTGCGTGAATTATATGGAACCTACGCTATGATTATCTGCATATTAAATCTTTTTTACATATATATGTATACGTACGTACATGTATATATAAATAAACATATAGGTTTGTATGTATATAGTACATCGCCCAATAAGTTCGTTAAGTAAGGAAACATTTTTTTTTTTGCCAAACATAGTCGTCGTTAAGACTGTTCCAATCAATCCAACACTTCCTCTTTAAGTCTGTTCCAATCAATTCAACAGCTGTTCGATGTTTCCTTTTTACAACGATTTGTCAAGACAGTCTCAGTTTCAACTTCAGCAACGACCTTACTGTTTGACCCAAATCTGTTTTCCTGGAGTATCTATTCAAGGTTTGCAAAAAGATAATGGTCGTTGGAGGCCCGCCAAGGACAAGAAGCAATGTAAATTTTAATTCACCCAACTTTGCTGTGGTTATCCATCTACTTGTGATACTAAGGATTGTCTTGGTCAAAAAGTATTTCAAAAAGTGTTCCTTCGTTGATATAAGCGTTTTTGTTAAGTTTTCTCCTTCCGTCAAAAGATACATTATTTGCTGTTCGATATCCATTGATCCTCCTTTTCCAAAGCTGTCGAAGGAGCCCTTAATCTTATCAAATATGCGGCTATGCCGTGCCTTCTATCCGATCCTTTCTACAGAGTGGACTATCGTCGTCATGCACCCAAGTTTCATCCATTGCCGCGTATCACATAAAAAGATCTTTTTAACTGCGGTTAAAAAGTTCCGACTAACGTCGTTGATTTTTTTATTCTACTGTGAGTAAACACTTTACCCCATTTGGAAAAAAGCTGCTCTACGGTTAAGTTTTCATGAAAAACATAGAATACACGGCCTTTTTTATTGTTTTTAAGATGTCAATTATCGCTTTCAACTACACAGCACCGTATCGCGGCATTGGAATGTCTATTGCATTCTCCCTCCAGTTCAAATATTCTTGCGAATTCCGCCACCAGGTGCCATAAAATGTGATAGGACGTCTCAGTCGTCCCTTTCTAGAATCTGCAAAAATCGGTGATGTGAGATGCCCCTGCTTTTCAAGTGATACTTGAAAGGCTTGCGTGTAGTTGACAAGAAAGACAGCTACTTGATTTTCTCAACGCCCATATAGATATCGAGGGCTTTAATATTACTCCTTAGCATCGTATAGAAAGATTTCGGATCTATCATTCTCCTTTGGGCTCCCACTATCGCGATTAAAGTTCTGCTAGCAATCAGCATCTTTGATGTCGTTACGCTTACAGATCTTGTTTAAAATCAGCAAAGCACACGTTATCATTTTTGGCGAAAAAAAATTGTGATCACACTTCTCAATCCGGCGCTGAACTTGGGTGATAGTGTTTCCAATAAAAAAGCAATATCTAATTAATTTGTGGACGTTGAGCGCTGAGTTTATAAGGTCCCCAATATTTTTTATAATGAAGAGAATGTCAGCCAGTCGACCGGCACGGCATTCCCGTTGATGTTTTCGATAGGCTAAGATTAACGTTTACAGTATATTTTTGTTTGATGTTTTAAATTGGTTCTAAAAAGTTGGTTGCATTAATCATTAAAGGGAGTTTTTGTGCGTGGATCATGGAGATTTAACGGTTTAATTGAGGAGCGGTAGAGTAAGTCCCAAAATGGAAGTTTATCAAGTTTCAGCTTTTTACCTCAATTTTGATCACCGATACACTTATAACTGTAAGAGATAACAAGGAGACGAACTGACAAACAAAACAAGTCAATTCAAGTTCCCACTCCCATCACGAATGTGTTCCCTTTATGGACTATCTCATGCCTCCGCCTGGATATTGGGAAAAGGTGATCATCTTAATTTTTGTCAAAGCCGTTCACTTCATATTATCATAAATCTGAACTTGTGAACATATAGTTAGACTGAAAATACATCACAAAAATCCTATTTTTATATCGATCACCGAGACTTTAAATAAACGAATTCTCTTAATGTTTTGGATTTTCTTTATATATCTTTATCCATCCGTTGGTATGAAGTAAGTGCTATGGAAATAGCAAAAATTAAAAGAGAACATTGAGATTAGAAAAGGATATTTTTCGACAGATCAAGATCGAAAATGACTACGACCTGTCCAAAAACATAGGCATTTTGGGCGCAGTAAGCTAGAAAACTTTAAACATGTTTTCGTAAATTTGCACTGATGTAAGCTGATAGAATGCTTCATCGTCCTGAACTTCTATGTAACTCTGAGATGAATATTCGTGCTAAGGTTTACGTTATAATTTACGTTGAAAGAATCGAGATTATTAAAAATATATTGAAAATTTCGAATATTTTTCACCAGATAGATTCAGCTCCCCTTTTTACGACTAAAATCAAACAACAGCAATAGCTGCTACAAAATAATTTAATAATGACTTAGATATTATTTTGCAAAACAAAAAGAGAAAAAAAAAAAGAAGGAAATGTGCAAGAGAAATTCTCCGCCTCCTCTGTTGTTTATGAGTTCATTAAAAACTATAATAATTATTACATTATTTTGTATTCTGTTCATGCTACTACTGCTATTTACTGCTGCTTCTTCTCTTGTTGAAACAGACAATGCAAGTTGAGTATCATCATCAGCAACAACAACACAATATCGCAGCACACACGCACACAAAAACGTAAATGTACATAGAACAGAAATTTGTTGTTGGTGTTTTTGTCGTTCATGTCTTCTTGTTTACTGTGACACACACATACGCCGGCTTCATTTAATAATAAACTTCCTGTATAAAATTTAATTTACTCAGCTTTTATTATAAAGACAAAAAAATCTCTGTCTACTTTCACAAATCTATACACATGTACACATAAATGCATATATATATATATATATATATATATATATATATATATATATAAC